GTAGTAGAGGAGCTGGCACTTGAACCTGGGCCCACAGCTCCAGAGCCATTTGCTTAACCACCACCCCATACTGCCTCTCTGTTCCACAATACTATTAGTATTATCTGGTTGAAAGCTGTGCTTTTTGATTGGTTGCCCTCTTCAATTAATTAATCAATTGGGTTGTGTGACCCAATCACACAATCACTCTCTCCAGGCATGATTCTGACTCTAATGATAATTCTTTACATCGATTTTTGTGTAGATAATCACTTATCTATCCCAAGAATGGAGACATGTTCAAAATGTAGCTCTTTAAAAAGGACCATGTCCACACTTTCTGTTCTCTGACATTTGCATTATCAGATGCAAATAGAAAACATATCTCTCAGTTGAATTAAACACAGAGAAGCTTAATGGCATCTGCTTTGTCATAATTGACACGGGTTTGCCTTCAGTGGTATTGACAGATGTGCAGTCCCCAAACCCACCATTCCAGGTCCCCTAAGCACTCTTAGGATGAAGTTTCCAGTCCCTTCCTTCATATTTTCAGAATTCCCTCACCAAGGGAGATGGGGGCCGGGGAGGGGAGGAAGAGGCCAGCCTGGTGGGGGTCTCCACTTGGATTCACAAGGGACAGGAGAAGAGAGATGAGGACAGGTTTGTGGGCACTCGTAATCCTTCTGGACTGCCATGGAGGTGGTGTGGCAAGGTCACCCCCACGTAGGCGGGTCCCCTCGGCCTCCCTCCTTTGCCTGTCCTGGTTCCACTGCCTGGATGTCAGCCTTATCCCAGGCAGAAAGCACCAACTCCTGCCTCCAGGACCAGAGAAGGGAGGGAGGCCGGAAGGGGCCAGCTCCGCACACCCAAGGAGAGACTGAGGACAGAATGGAGGATGCCCCCCAGGGGACAGCCGGGCACAAAAGGCCTGCCTCCCGCATCACGCTCCCTAACTGCCTTTGCTCCTCAGGGGCCAGAAACTTGTGGGAGGCAGGGAGGCAAAGAGAAGGGAAAAGATGGAAGAGAGGGAGAGAGCTCCAGAGAAAAAGAGTAAGAGGTTAGGGAGATCAGCACATGTTCCACTATTAAATGAATGATATACAGAATAATAATGAAATACAGAGGATAGTAAATAATATACAACAGTATTAAATACTTCCATGTATTCACCACAAAGACTAAACGGTGTTAACATTTTGCCATATTTCCTTCAGCTTTCCTCATTTTTTAAAAGGGATAATACATTGCAGACACAGCTATAATCTGCCCCCCACCTCCAACTGTGGACCGTCATTTCATCTGTCCCTTCTCCCTTAGAAGGAACCGTTCTCCTGAAGTCCTGTCTGTCTTTCCCATCTGTGTTTCCGCTTTTACTAAACGGGTATGTATCCACGAAAATATATACTGTTGCTCCTGTGTCAAGTTTTTACATAAATGGTATAATCTGGCTCATATCCCTTTGCCACTTGGTTTTATCTTTCTCAGCATCATGTTTTTGATACTTATCCATGTCGACACTTGAGGGTGAGTGCGTTAATTTTATCTGCTGCATAGTATTCCATCTGATGACTCAGTTTACTTTTCTGTTCTCCTGTTGCAGGACACCTGTTTCCAGTTTTTTTGTTATTACAAGAAACGTGAACGGACATCCTTGTACATGTCTCCCTGGGCGCATCTATGAGAATTTCTCTGGAGTCACATCTAGAAGCAGAATTACTGGGTTCCAGGGAAATCTGGGTTTCCAGCTTTACCAGATTTTGCTAATTGTCGTCTAAAATGACTGTGCCAGTGAGCTTTCCGTCCAGCGTGCCATGAATTTCTACTTCTCAGGGTTGCAAAATTTTTCCAAACATAATTTGCACTTCCTTTTTGCTGGTGTGGATAAGCAACTGTTTATATAGGCCTATCATGGGCCTATCATGTTTCCTCTTCAGGAAATGACCTGCTCACGTCCTTTGTTAATTTTCCTATTGTTTTCTGTTTTTTTTTTTCCTTGCTGATTATGAAAGTACTTTATGATTGCTATAAATCTTTCTTTTTTTCACTTTGTTTGTAATGTTTCGTTAATTGGAAGTTTTTAAATTATTATCAAAGCTGAGTGATTGATACACGCGGGCTCTTTAAACTATTATCTCTACTTTTGTGTGGTTTTGAAAATGACCATAACAAGAAGTTTGTAAAAACCTATAAAACAAATAATTCTCTATTATCCCAAATTCCTTAAGATCAGCTCCAAATTTGATAGTTTTACTCTCCACATTCAGGGCTCTAATGCCACTGGAATTTACTGTCGTAGTTGGTGTGCCAGAGGATCTAATCTTGTTTTTCCCTCATGGATGGCCAGCTGTCCCCGCCCCATTCCTGACCCGTATGTCCCTTCTCCTCTGACCAGAAATTCCCCCTTTGCCCCATAGATTCTTGGCTTTGTGTCAAGCTCTCTATTCTATTCCTTAGTCACCTGTCTATTTTTGCATCTTGCCGCACTGTTTCAATTTCCGAGTTAGCAGATTGGCATCTGTAGAGCCAGGTTAGAACTCCTTCTTCTTTTTCTTCTTTTCTTCTTCTCGGACCTTTGTCCTTCCATATAAATTTTATGATCAGTTTACTCAATTCCAGAAAGGGGAAAAAATGACACTGTTGGGTTAACTGTAATCGCACGGAATTTACAGACTCGTTTGAGGGAGAGATAACATCTTTACAACATGATCTCTTCCCGTCCGTTATCTTGGCACGTCCATTTGCTTATTTAGGTCTTTTTGGGTCCCTATGTAAACATTTTGTTTGTTTTCTCGTTAGGGTCTCGCTCAGTCTTTGTTAGTTTCCCTCCGGGGCCTGTGGTTTTTGTGGGTCTCCCTCCGCACAGCAGATATGCCAGGCACGTCCTTCCTTACCCCCTACTCCAGCCCCTTGGTCCAGGCCCCTCCCTCCCACTGTCCAGGGAGCAGCTGTCCTGCCCCAGCAGCTGACTGTTCCTGCGAGGCTTTGCCAGAGCGGGTAGGGCTCCCACCTCCCACCTCGGGTCCTGTCAGCTGAGTCTGGGGAGAGTGACAGTTGTTTGAGCGAAGACAATGGGCTGCATTCTGGACGGGCCCCTCTCTGGGCCTCCTGCTCCCCAGCCAGAGCAACTGTTTTTATAGATAGGGTAGGGCCCCACCTGTCAGCCCTAGATACTCTTTCAGGCCACATCCAACTCCCTGATCCATTTTCTTCACGTCTTATGAGCAGATCTGTGTGTGTCCTACTGCCCAACTGCCTGTCGGTGGGTCTGCCATTGCCTGGAATTGGTGGGCAGGGGAATGGTGGACAAGGGTAAGGGACCGTCCCTCCCTCATGCATCACCTCTTACCCCGGAGGAGCTGCAGGTCACAAAGTCTTCTCTCATTTGTGACCACACTCAGGTCTCAGATCTTCACAGGACGGACGGTGCCAGGGCTACTGTCGCAGGTAGAGAGGTGCTGTGATGGGTGACAGGGCTGAACTCCCAATTCCTGGCTAATATCCTGCCCTTCGCCACCGATGCTTCCTACACCTAGCTGGCCTCCGCACCTGCTCTTCAACGCCTGCTCCCCTCAGCACTCCCTGCCCTTGATGAGGCCTCCCTGTCTCTTTTCAGGCCTCTTTGGATGGGGGTCAGCACTGCCCTCATCCTCCCACAGCCAGGAAGCACTCCAGGCCACGCTGACCCCCCAGAAGGGACAACAGGACAGTGAAACAACACAGAGCCAGGGGCCGGGGCCTCAAGGGAACCCAGGCCTCCCTCCATCGACTCTTCAAGCACTCACTGAGCCCAGCCTCCACCCTCAGGGGCTGCTCATGAGCATCAGGGTGCCCCGTAGCAGATCTCCAAGGAACAGACAATGGGGCTGGCTCCAGATATAAGGTGTACCGGGGAGGAAAACCCAAAAAGACGGAGGAAAACAAACTCCTGTTTATTGGACAACTTCTAGGGGCCAACCTCGGGACCTAGTCTTTGCCCATCTCTTGATCCTGTCAGAGGTGGGTATTACGAGAATTCCCATTTCAGGGAAGATGGCCGCCACACAGCACAACTCCAGAGGGGTCATTCCCACCCCAAGTTGTACAATGTACAGTCTGCTCAGGCATCCAGAGAGGCCCTGAGAGGGCGTCCCAGAGCCCGCATGTGAATCCAGATCTGAGTGACCAGTGCACTTCCCGTCCCTGTGCGGGTCAGTGGCCATCCTGGAGAGTGCTTTGGACACCGGGATGGGGACAAGCAGAAAGGCGTGGGAGGAACAGGATACCCCGTGCGCCCAGGTCTTGAGAAAACCCATCAGCTCTATTAAAATTCTCGCCACCCCACCCTCGGTTTACCCAGCTGCGTGTCTGTCACTCCACTGACTCTTGGGGTGTCTCTCCTGTTCACCACTGTGTCCTTGGCACCTTGCACAGGCCTGGCACACAGGGAGCACTCGAGGCTTGTTGTTGATGTAAGTGGCCCAATTAACCAATGCGTATATATGGGGGCGGTAGGGGCCCCCAGGATGCTTCTAGATGGCTCAGAGGATCTGGGGAGAAGACCAGGGAGGACGAGGCCAGGGGTCAGGGGTCACTTACTGCCAAGCCCACAGGCCTCAACTTCACAAGCTGGCATCCAGACACTTTTTGTTTTTAATTGACTTTGAGGAACAGGAGGCTTGGCCAATTTCCTCAAAGTGGCCTGGCCCTTTCCTGGCCAGGACAGAGTGAAAGGCAGAGGTCAGGGCAGAGTAGGCAGGGTCTGCCACACCAAGCTAAATCAGGAACTGCTCCATGGCAGCTCTGTTGCCAGAGAGGATGCTCATTTTTCCAGGAAAGGCTGAGGAAATCTTTAGCAGAGTCCTTGGCTTTCTGCCTTAGAGAAAATGTCTGGGGCAGGAGGGGAGGGTAGGAAGGAAGTGGAGAGAAGAGTTTATCCCAGGACAGGGTGGGGGACAGAGAGTAAACTAAGACTCCCACCAGCCCTGCACCCAGCTGCTGCCCCTCCCCACCTCCCTTCCCAACCCCCTCAGAGATCCCCCATTGTTACCAGAGACAACATCCTGTTTCCTTTACCCACCTCACTGTCCAGACCCCTGGACGCTCTGTTCACAGGGTGCAGGGAGGGGCAAGAGTCCGGCCCGAGGCCCAGAGTCCAAAGATCTCACAGCTGGAAGATCCCACAGCTGTGGAAACTGAGTCTGGGACCCGAGGGGTGTGATTTACCCAAGATCCCGGCCACTGCAGATCTGGGCCAGCACGGCAGGGCCTCCAGGGTTCCCTGGAGATGACACATTTCGGAGGTTTCCAAATAGAACCATTAAGGCCTGACTTGCCCTCCCCTAAGTTCAGTGTGGTCAGTTCCTCCCTTCCAAGAGGCTCTCTCCAGCTGGTTGTGGCCCAAAGGGTTCTTACATACATCCTAGGAATGTGTTTGGATCCATGGAGCTCTGGGGCTCAACAGCACAGGCCCTGGGACAAGCGGGCCTCTGTGGATCCCAACACAGAACCTCTATTTGTTTATTTATTCTTATAGTAAATGTTTATTGCAAGTACTGGGGACACAGTAGACAAAACAGACACAACTCCCTACTCTCATGGAGTTTACATTCTAGCGGAGGAGGCAGATAATCATAAGATAAGGCAGTAAAATATATAGCATGTCAGACAATGATTTGCTGCGGAGACAAATAGAGCAGAGGAGGGGATGGAGAGGAACCAGCAGGAGATGGAGTGGAGAGAGTGTACTTTTAAATAGGATGGATGGGTAACATTTGGGCAAAGACTTGAAGGAGGTGAGAGATGAAGCCATGTGGATACCTGGAGAAAGAGCCCTGTAGGCAGGAGCAATAGTAGGTGCAAAGGCCCTGAGGCAGAAACATATCTGGCACAGTTAAGGAACAGCAAGGAGGCCAGTGTGCTGGAGCAGAGAGAGACGGGCAAGGACTAGAAGTTGAATTAGGACGTCAGGGGAGGTCAGACCACCTAAGGCCTTGTAGGTCACAATCAAAGCCTTTGGCTTTAACTTTGAGGGAGATGGGAGCCACTGGACAGTTTGAGCAGAAAAAGGACAGGATCCGATTCATGTTTTGTAAAGATCATTCTGGTCACTGTGTGGAAAAGAGAAACGAGAACACCAGTTAGGAAGCTACTATAATAATTCAGAAGAATACTCAGACAAAGGTAGTCATGGTGAGAAGTGGTGAGATTCTGAATATTTGAGAAGTAGAGCCACCAGGATTTACTAATGTGGGTAGTGAACTGTGACAGAAAGAGAGAAGTCAAGGATAACTTCCAAGATTTCCGCCAGAGTAAGTAGAACGATGCAGCTGCCAATTACAAAGACGAGAAAGCCTGAGGAAGGGACAGGTTTGGGAGGAAATCAAACCATTTATCTGTGTGATTCTGGGTAAGTTGCGTAACCACTCTGAACCTCAGTTTCTTCATCTGTACAATAGTTATAATAAACACTCCCCTGCAGTGGTGGTGAGAACTAAGTGAGATCATGAACTCACAGGCTTGGCAAACAGATACACTCAACACACATGCCATGCACAGTGCAGGGATGACGCGTGGCCATCCCATCTCCTCAGGAAGCCACTGGAAGGAGAGGAAGACGACACCTATAAATCTATATTCCAGCTCCTCTTCCCTGCTTCCTCCAGGTAGAAGTGGGACAGACCTTTTTGACGTTTAAGTTTTCTTTCTTCACGGTCTTTGACACTTCTGGAGATGGTGATGATGCTACTGGAGGCTGGTGGTGGGGTGGCGATAAAGATCTTAGTCCCATGCCTGTGAAGCTTACAAGACACTTACACGGCCATTATCTCATCTGAGTCCAGCAAGGCAGAAATTAAACCCATGTTATGAAGTAGGAGAATAAGGTATTTGAAAACAACACAAACCAAAACAAACCCAGACTGTCTCTACCTCACTATCACAAGGAACCTCATTTAATCTTTGGGGTAAAGAAAGTGGGTAAGAGGGTCCGGAAGCGGGTATCGCTCTTCCTGTCGTTGAGTGGGAGTGCTGCCCAGCTGTCCAGCTGGGCTCAGGTAGGAGACAGATGGTGACCCCACTCCTCTACCCCCAGGAGAAGGCCCACAAGTGCCTGCCCAGTCCTCGTTCCCCTGTCTCAGCCACTCCAGACATGTCTGGCAGGTCTGGGCTGCAGCCTTACAGCTTCTGAGGTTTGGGCCAGTAGGTCTCATACACTGTCCCATTCCAGTTACTCTTCCCAGTTCCTCCCAGTTACTGAGGTAACAGAAGAGGGGACTGGAGCCCAGAAGAGTCACCGTGGCTAAGATCACACCATTAGAAAGTGCAGTCTGGCTTCCAACTCCGAGGTCGGCCCCCAGCAGGAAGAATTCCTGCATTCCAATTCCTTCCACTTCTGCCAGCCCAGCTGCCCCCTCCCCTCCATCTACCAGGTGGCAGAACACAGCTGTCTTTTCGTGGCTCCCTGGGCCCAGCAAGCTGTCCTGGGTGGGACTGAGCTGAGTGGGGCAGTCCTGTGCAGCATCCAGTGAGGCTGTGCTCCCGCAGGCAAATGCAGCCAGAGATCGGCTCTGAGCAGCAGTTCTGACCGGTGAGAGCTGCTGCTGATGGACGGATGGACGGATGGACGGATGGATGGATGGATGGATCGGTGGGAGTGGGGGACGGGGAGGGTAGGGAGTGTGGGAGTAGGGGATGGGGAGGGTAAAAAGTGTAGGTCAGGGTGATCAAGGGCCCTCAAAAGAAAACTTAGAATTGCCTGGGGAAGAACTTCAGCTGGATTGGGGGAGAGGGGCTGGGGAATGCCAGGTGACTGAGGGTCACCAGGGAACAGCAGGAGCCCCTGGAAGCTGGTGTCAGCAAGCTTTACTGTGGCTTTGGCTCTGTTTCTCCTTAGCTATGGGGAGAAACCTCCTTCCCCAGCTGCCCTGCCATGAGAAAGGGCTTCAGGACAGCAAAACCGGACCCGCAAATTAAGGTCTGGGGAGCGTGAGGGTGTAAACCGAAGGGAGGGAAATCCTGTCCACCCCCTGTCTTTGCCAGGTGAGGAGGGAGTGGCAAAGGCAAGCCTAGAGTCTGCACTGCCTTCAAGGCCAGCCGGCCATGCCCGTTCCGCTGCTCCCACTGCTGCTGCGGACGCTGCTGTCCCGCCTGCTGCTGCCCGCTGCCCGCCTGGCCCGCCAGCACCTCCTGCCCCTGCTGCGCCACCTGGCTCGCCGCCTGGCCTCCCAGGACATGCGAGAGGCTTTGCTGAGCTGTCTGTTGTTCATCTTCAGCCAGAGACACCCGCCGGATGCTGGGGAGGCCTCCAGAGTAGCCCACTCTGAGAGGAGGGAGAGGCTAGCCCCCCAAAAATGAGGCCACAAGTCCTGGGAGAAGCTGTATTCATTGAACCGCTTTCTTTTGGAGTGAGACAGTCCTGGCACTGTCACTGGCCACAGCCTGCCCAGTGGGGGACTGAGCATGAGGGGTCAGACCAGGACATGCCTCCCCACTCCCAGCGGAAATGACTGGAAGGATGCCCTGCATCGAGCGGGAAACCCATCACTACTCCTCCCTCCCCCTGCATTCCTCCCAAGACCCTTCCTAACCACCTCTGGCCTGAGCCCAGAGAGGAACTCACTCGCCCCTACCCCCAGCACTCGGGGATGCAGGGTCCCGTGATAGACAACGCTTATGCCAAGGACAACTGAAAATTGAGCTGAATTGAGAGAAGAGATTTCAACCTGTCTTCCAGACTCAGTACCTCAAAATAAGACCTTGGTTCCCTAGGGAGCCAGTCCCATTCCCTAAAGCCCAGCATGTAGCAGGTGTTCAATAAATACTTGTTGATTCGAATTCTTGGGGCACCTTGGAGGGTCTTGTCACCTCTACTCCTACACGGCAAGACAATCTCACCTAGCCACCAGTGGGGTGGAGAAACAACTCAAGGCTTTCTTTTGCTACCTATCCCATTGCCCCTCAATCCTTATCTCCCTTCAGTCGGTATGTCACACTGTGACCCAGGGGTCTTGGGTCTGACTTGGAGAAGGTTGGGCTGGCCAGCTCAAGCTAAGGAAGAAAACGTCCTCAGCCAGCTGGAGACCCTTCTCAGCTAACGGCGGTGGGGAGAGGGAGAGTTGTTTGCTAAGGGGCCTGTGGGCAGCCACCCAGGGGAGTGGGGCACAAACGCATGTCCCTGAGGGGCACGCTGCCCCTGAAGGGGGGCGGGGGGAATGACCTGAGGCATTCACCTCATCATTTTCCCCTTCCCAAAGGGAGGGCCCTCAGGGGTCAAGCAAGAGTAGTCAGATGCATTTGCATTGCGCCCTGGCCTCCGGATAATTTGCTTACTGTTCCCATGCAACAGTCCTCCTGCTCCGGCCCACCCCAGCGAGTCTTGGGCTCTAGGTGCCGAGGGCGTAGTGAGGACACAGGACCCTATCCTGTCCCCAAACTCGTCAGAAGCTTGGCCCGAGGTAACCGCTAAGACCAGAGCTGTGCACCCCCACCCCAGCCCTGCTGGGCTTTCCGTCAGACCCCCGACCCTCCACCCCTCGGCACCATCTGCTTCCCCATGGAGTCCTCAAAAGCCAGCGCACGTGCTCACCCCTCCCGGGAAGGCGACCCGGGGTAGGGGTTGGGGGGCGGAGTGAAAGCTGTTCAAGCCCCGGCTCTCCTAACCGCATTCCCCTCCAGGGTCTCGAGCGCCCATTTTTGTGCTTGCTCCCGACCTCCCTCCTGCCGGCCTCCCTCCCGTCCCCCTCCCGCGCAGCTCCGCGGCGGCTCCGTCCCGCCCTGGCAGTCCCTCTCCCACCCCGGGGCAGAGCTGGCTCAGACCCGGCGCGGGCTGCGATTTCTCGCCACGGCCGCGGCCCCAGCCCCCCGGGTAGGAGGCCAGGAGAGGACCAGGGACCCGCCGGCCAGAGAATTTCCGTCCCCTCTGCCATCCTCCCTCCCCAACTGCGGACTCCCCCTCCTGAGTCTCAGCAGGAGCGCGGGGGACGAGGCGGGGGGCGGGGCGGAGAGAGGGGAGCCGGGAACCCGGGGGGCGGGAGGGGGGAATATCAATGGAGACGGAATGTACGGTCTCTGGGGAGGGAGGTACCTTTTCTCTCTTCGTCTTTAAAGGCGGCAGGCCACAAGTAGACCGCTGTCCTCCCAAACCACATACAGATGCCTCAAAAGTCAGAGACCAGCTCAGAGCAGAGGGTAAGGGCAAAGGGCTAGAAACCGAGTCCAGACCTAGTGAACAGAGTCATCTTTTTTTGTTTGTTTGTCTTTTTAAAGATTTCATTTTTCCTTTTTCTCCCCAAAGCCTCCCGGTACATAGCTGTATGTTTTTAGTTGTGGGTTCTTCTAGTTGTGGCATGTGGGATGCCACCTCAGCATGGCCTGATGAGCGGTGCCATGTCCACACCCAGGATCAGAACCGGTAAAACCCTGGGCCACCCAAGCTGGAGTGCACAAACAACCACTCAGCCACGGGGCCGGCCCCAAGAGTCAAGTCTTCTTAAGCCCTGACCCCCATAGCCATCCCAGAGCATCCACAAATAAGGTCAGGGAAGTGAGCCAAGTTGGATCCTGAGAGGACTGGATCCTGTCTTTATTTTAAATGTTGATGTTTTATTCATCATGGATTTTTTGGCATTATCTTTGATTTTTAAGAATACTGCATTCAGATATTTATCTTGCTTCCTGAATTTTTTAGCACCCTCTTAGGTTTTGCACCTCAGGCAGACTGCCTCCCTGGCCTGTCCCTAGTCCCAGCCGGGCCACAAAGGCAACTGCCCATGTATGTACACAGCCATGAGACATGTGCGGGTGACATATTGCCAGCTCAGCTGAGCAAACACAGATGCACACGGGGCTGGAAAGATAGGACTCTGCGTGAGGTGCACACAGATGCACACAGGGCTGGAAAGATAGGACTCTGTGTGAGGTGCGTCACCATCTCAAAGAGGGTGGGGGTTGGGTGCAGCCCTTCCCACCCCACTCCTGTGCCGGGAGCCCAGGGAGGGAGAGAGCCGGAAGACTGGGCAGAAGGTGATGAGGACTGGCCGGGCCTGGCTAGAAACACTTTGGGCACAGACCCATGTGAGTTGGGGCTCTGAGACTGTCCAGCAGGGGGCCCAGGTACCCAGCAACCATCTCTGCCCAGGGAGGCATCTCTGGAGCGGGGAGGAGGGTGCTGGCGGGGGAGGGGGGGGGCCCCTGGCAGGGCGAGCGCCAGATGGGCTTCTCTCCAGCAATAACAGCCCTGGCTGTTGCCATCCAGTGAGCGGGCCAAGCCTCAGCAGAGGTGGGGAGAGGAACCAGCCTTCCCCTGTCTGGCCTGGGACCCTCACCACTTCCCTCCAGTTTCTTTCCACTTCCAACCCCCTTTGCACAGCCACTGGCCACCAGCCTGGCCATGTCTGGCAGATCTGTCTGAACACTAAGGCCTGCCACCCCCACAGGCCCTGAGACAGGAAATGAAGGTGGGGAGAGAGACAGGGGCCAAGAAAAGAGGGGAGAGGCGGGAAGAGAGAGAGACTGGACAAACACAGGGTGGGAATGGGGTAGCAGGGGTAGACCCACACATGACGCTGCCCTCAAGCCGTGGGACAGCGTCTAGAAAAATACCATATATAGCCCTCTTCCTGCCCTCTGTTTGCTGAAGTCTGGGGGATGATGGTGTGTCATGTCTCTGAGGGGTGTGGAGCCAGAATGCTGGGAATACCCCTCCTGGAGTAGCTTGGGGAGAGTGTGCTGACTCCAAGTGGAAAACCTACACTTCCCCTCAGGGCCCATCTGTTCTCTGGGGAAAGGGTGTGACTCTGCCTTATCCCGTGGTGTTAGTACGCCTAATTGTTAATTAGTGTCTGTGGCTTTTCCAGGAAACCGGCCTGTTGGTTAGTCGGGCACGGGAGTGAGGATAGGGGGTGCTGGACCAGATTTTCTCTCCTCAGACCCTCTCCAGCCTCTGAATTGTCCCCCAGCACTGAGGGCTGCCACAGGGGCAGTGACTCCCTCTCCCCCAGATTTACTGACCAACAGAAAAGGAAGGAATCCTTCCTCCTCCCTTGGAGGTGGAAGAAGGACTGACCACTCCTCAGGATGCCCACTCCCTTCCTCCTCAGCTAGTGGAGGATGTGGGTTCAGCTTCAGCATCTGCCTCTGAGTATCAGGACAATAGGATTCACTCAGGATGTAAGGCTGTTCCTGGCCTTTTCTCTTTCCATCCCCAACTGTGCCTCAGCTTTTCCAAACTTCTGGATTTAGAAAGAGTGAATCATGAGGGGTCTACAGGGCTGGGCCTCTACCGGCCCCCCCCCCCCCCGCCCGCCCCCCAGAGCCACACCTCCTCCTCCAAGTCAAAGTGGTGGGTGGTGTGTGTGGGTGTGCGGGTCTCTGTGTGTACAAGGTAGGAAAACCCACCATGCAGGTCACTGATGAGCCTGATTATGTCAGAGGGATCCCACAGCGTGGTGGTGGTGGGGGGGGGGGGGCGAGGCAGAGGACATATCTGAAAGGAAGAAAGTGACATGAAAAGGGAGGGGGTGCTGAAAAAGAAAAAGGCACAGTGTGGGAGAAAGTGGCTGGGAGGGGGTTTGGGGAGTGATAACGGAACGTCTGGGATGGAGCAGGGACGTGGGGGCGTCGGGGCCTGTGTGAGCAGAAGGTTTGTCCCTGGGAGAGCCCCGAGGGGAGTTCTGTAGGAGTTCACCTAGCCCCAGCGCGGAGGAGACTAGGGGTACCCAGTGTGGCGCGTACCCTCCTGTCCCCTGTGCTCCTCGATGGGGCAGGGTTTAGTGTGGCAGGGCCCAAATAGGTCCTGTCTACAGAAATCACACCGCGAGGTGTGGGCCCGGCGGCCTGGGGGCGCAGGGTCCCAGGTGCGGGTCCCTAGGCATCCTGAGACGCCAAGCGAGCGGCAGAGGCGGGCCGGGCCGGGGGCGGGGCCGAGGCCGGCGTTGGTGGGGGGAGCGGACGCCGCTGGGGTGCGCCGGGGGCGGGCCCGGCGGGGGGCGGGTTTGAATGTGCTCGGGCGGGCGCGGGAAGCGGCCTGGAGAGAACGCAGATCTCCGCACCGGACTCCTTCCCTGCAGGTGCTGAGCGGGGCCTGGGGGCAGGGGACCGGCGGGCGGAAGGCGCCGCCTCCTGCCCGCCAGGAGGCAGGGAGGCCGGGCCTGGCAGCTCTGCGGCCGGGAGCGAGGCGGCAGTTGGGGCTCCCCCTGCCCAGGTGCGGAGCACGCGGAGCTGCGCAGCACGTGGGACGCGGCGGAGTACCCTGCGGGGACCCAGACCGCAGCGGGGCGTGGAAGGCCTGGTTCCTGCGCCTGGAACCGGCTGTCGCTGAGCCGACCTCCACAAGGGGCGGGCGAGTAGATGGTTAATCTCGACCAGTGTTGTTGCTGGTACAGGGGAGGGGCCGCGCCGCTGACTGCGCTTGGGTTGGCGGCGGGGTGGGGATGGGGATGAGGGCACGAGGAATGGAGGTGGAAGAGCTGTCTCTTTAACTCCCGCCTTTTATTGGCCGAATTCGTGTCCGTGGCCTCCTCTTCATGGGCGCGTGCTCATTTACTCCTGGAGAGAGGACAAGGATGCATGCCCCCCCCCCCCCCCAGCTTTTCTTCCCAGGGGAGAGCAGTGGTGGGTGAGGGCAGGTCCCACCCTTGCCCCTCACCCCTCTTGGAGTCACTCCTTTGCCGCATCGATCCTCTCGGTAACCTCCAGACCCTCCTATCTGTCCTCCTGTCTGTGCGGGCTCTCCATGCCAAGAAGTATGTGTAATAGGGTGGGACACTCAAGTCAGGCTGGAGATGACCTCGACCCCCACCTTATTTTTCCCCCTTAGTTGGAGTAGAGAACTCTCACCTCCCAGTATAGTACAGGGCTAGCTGGGAAGCAGTCTCTGTACCTTGCTCCCCACCCCACAAGAAGCCTAGGATAAGCTACACCTTGAGTTTGAATTCCAGCTCTCCCATTCATTAGCGCTCTGACTTTAGGCAAGTAACTCAACCTCTCTGAACCTCAGCTTCCCTGGTCTGTTCCATGGAGACAATTTAGTACTAGCTTATGGGTGGTCATGAGGGCAAGGGTAGCAGCTGACTCCATATAGGATCCCGGGGAGCGGAGAATTTGATGCTACCACAAGGGCTGTCTAGAAGCTGGGGTACATGAGAGGTGTTGGCCTGGGAGTAGGGAGGTGCTGTTTGGCGGCTGCTTTCAGGGCCCCATCTCAGCAGGCCAAGGCGTGGCTGGAGGGACAGCAGATGCTTTGAGCTCGCATCAGATCCCAGTTGCTGCTGGGCAAAGGCAGACAAGAACCTAACACCTGGCCAGCTGAACGTCAAGATGTGGGCAGGGAGAGGGGCTGCTCTGGAGTTGAACTGTGCCCAAGACTGGGGTGGGAACTGCTGAAAACAGAGAGCAGGGGTGTCGCTGGTGGAGAGAGTAGAAATAAATACTTCTCTGAGCTTAAGGCAGATTTACCGAGGAAGGGAGATACTCTGTTCTCTCCACCCCAGGCTCCCATCTGGGATGAAACTGCACCTGCTCTTTATTGCCAGGAATCTTGCCTGTGGGGCTGGGGGCTGGAGCTCAGGGTGTGCGAGGTGAGAAGCTGGGGGTTCCCCTTCCTGCTAGGTAATAGAAAACCTGAGTCCTGAGCCTTGTCTGCCCACATCCCAGGGCAGAGCCCTCTTGCT